GATGTCACTCAGTGGTAAAGTGCCCTGAGTTCAATCCTCAACACCACCAAATAAATAAATAAATAAGAAAATGAAAAGAACTAAGGATCTAACTCAAGGAAAATGAAAAGAACTAGGGATCTGACTCATGGTAGAGCATCCCTGGGACCAAGCCCCAGGACTGTGATCACTAAGAGAGCATTGTATTAGTAGCACAGATACAGATGATATGATATTTTGCAATGGGGTTGAAATCTTAGATTTAGAATTCTTTATTCTTCTATATGTGTTTTGACTGTAGTGGAATGATTCTTTTTTTTTTTTTTTTTTAGTTGGACATAATACCTTTATTTATTTTTCTGTAGTGCTGAGCATCGAACCCAGTGCCTCACACATTGTATGGGCAAGTGCTGTACCACTGGGCTGAACCCCAGCCCTAGTATAGCAATCTTAAATCTAAATATTCCTCAACAGTAATTTTTTTTTTTTAATGGTGCTGGGGATTGAACCCAGGGCCTTGTGCATGCAAGGTAAGCACGCTATCAACTGAGCTATATCCCCAGCCCACCTCAGAAGTAATTTTAATTTTTCATGCTTTCTTCAGAACTTTTTGGCAATAAATTGTCTTTGACATGTTAGTCATACCCTTTTTTAGAGGACTGAAGCTTATGTAACCACATAGTCAAATCAAAGTATTGGTTAATTTTATATCAGATGAATTGATGTTTGTGGGACCTTAGGGGAAGGAAATCTTACAAGTGAGACCTAAGATGATTCTTTCAGTACAGTCTATCTTCCACATATAGATATTGATTCTTGTTGATGCTGTCCTATAAAAGGGAACACTATGTCTAGCTAAGTCTGTTTCAGATGGTCCTACCTTGCTACTGTACCTTCACTGTCCTTCTCTTTTCCGGGAGTAATTACAAAGTAACTAAGGTTAACAACAAATATAACAATTCAGCCTTAACCACTGAGGATATATTTGCTTTTGGGTATTCCTTCAGGCTCCTTTTTCCTAAAGTGTTATTGCTATGGTCAGACTTAATACTAGAAACTTAGCTCTGTCGTTTGTCTTCTGTTTCTTAAGACAACCTCATCAGCCTTGAAGGGTGCCATCCAATTAGGCATTACTCATACTGTGGGGAGCCTGAGTACCAAACCAGAACGGGATGTCCTCATGCAAGATTTCTACGTGGTGGAGAGTATCTTCTTCCCCAGGTACAGAAGTCAATTAACATTTATAAGAATATCATTGAAAATGTGGCTTTTTCAAATCAACTCAGGGGACTTTTAAGAAATTGGGCCTGACTCACTTGTAATACTTAGCCTGCTAGTTCTCAGCCTGGTCAAAACAGGCTGATGTAATACTGGAGCATTTGGAGAGCAGATGCTGCCATGAGGTTCTGACCTGTGGAGTGATCTGTTCAAAAAAAAACCAGTAGCATTGGCCAGGAGATACTGATTGCTATGTCTTGATCTTCTTGTTGTGACTTTGTCCCATTCAGTTTTCTCAGGAGAGAGTAATCCCTCTGGTTCTCTCAGGAAGATGAATTGACCTTCCTCTAAGGTTTCTTTTTATTTAACTTCATAGTGAAGGGAGCAACCTGACCCCTGCTCATCACTACAATGACTTTCGTTTCAAGACCTATGCACCGGTTGCTTTCCGCTACTTCAGGGAGCTATTTGGCATCCGGCCTGATGATTACTTGGTAAGTGTCTCGTATCAGCACCCTATGACTCCAGGTTTGAGGGATGTTCCCCAAGCAAGGCTCACTTTCTCCACAGTTTTGTTCTAGTTTTCCTTAGAACAGAAATATATTCATAGTTGACTTCTGTGTGGAACAGTCCCTGGTATGTTTGAATCTTTTTTACTGTCCTCTCTTTCGACTTTAGTATTCCTTATGTAGTGAGCCACTGATTGAACTCTGCAATTCTGGAGCTAGTGGTTCCCTTTTTTACGTGTCCAGCGATGACGAATTCATCATCAAGACAGTCCAGCATAAAGAAGCGGAGTTTCTGCAGAAGTTGCTTCCAGGATATTACATGGTAAGGAGGAGAGGAACACTGGTGCCACCTTTGCTAGCCACTTCTGGACAAGGCTATAAAGCTGTCTTCAGCAAGCTAAGACAGTTCAGCACTGTTTTCTTAACAGTTGTTTGTTTTTGTACTTTTGCCTCATTGGGTTACAAAGGGTTTTGTAGAAGGGCATGTTGATGCACACTTGTAATCCCAGAGACTTGGGAGGCTGAGGCAGGAGGATCACAAATTCAAGGCCAGCCCTAGCAGCTTAGCAAGAACCTATTTCTTTTTTCTTTCTTTCTTTTTTTTTTTTTTTTTTAAGAGAGAGAGAGATAATTTTTTTTTAAATATATATTTTTTAGTTTTCCACAGACACAACATCTGTTTGTATGTGGTGCTGAGGATCCCAACCCGGGCCACATGCATGCCAGGCGAGCGCACTGCCGCTTGAGCCATATCCCCAGCCCCAAGAGCCTATTTCAAAATAAAAATTAAAAAGGGCTGGAGGAGGGCTGGGGATATAGCTTAGTTGGTAGAGTGCTTGTCTCACATGCACAAGGCACTGGGTTTAATCCCCAGCACCACAAAAAAGGGGGGAGAGCTGGGGGATGGGCTGGGGTTGTGGCTTAGCAGTAGAGCACCTGCCTAGCACATGCGAGGCCCTGGGTTCTATTCTCATCACCACATATAAATAAATAAGTAAATAAAAAGTATTGTGTCATCTACAACAACAACAAAAAATACTGCAAAAGGTGGGGCTGGGGATATAGCTCATGTGGTAGAGCACCCTTGGATTCAGTCTTCATTACCAAAGGGGGGGCGGCTTTTTTTTTCTCTTATGTGTTAGAGAAGTTAGGAAACACTTTTTGCTTTGCATAATACCCCCAGGTTTAACCCTATAATTAGGATTACAAGACTTTAAAAAAAAAAAAAAAAAACACTGTCCTTTTGAATTAGTATATCCATTATATGTTTGGTGTCTTAGCTGATTACTTTGTTGGAAGGTCTGTTGCTCAGGTTGATGGTGATCACATTGTTGAGATGCATTTGGAAATTTTGACCCAATGTGATGTGGGTTTATGAGCAGATTTTGCCTGAATCCCATGTAGGAGACAAAGGGAGGATGGATGGCAACTTTTGCCCTTGAATTTCACTGGAAAGCAGCTAACTTGCTTTACTGTGTTTTACTTTTGTGCCCTTAGAACCTCAATCAGAACCCTCGAACTTTGCTGCCTAAATTCTATGGACTGTACTGTGTGCAGGCAGGTGGCAAGAACATACGAATTGTGGTGATGAACAATCTTTTACCACGGTCAGTCAAGATGCATATGAAATATGACCTCAAGGGCTCAACATATAAACGACGGGCTTCTCAGAAAGAGCGAGAGAAGGTTCTCCCCACCTATAAAGACCTGGACTTCCTACAAGACATCCCCGATGGTCTTTTTTTGGATGCTGACATGTACAATGCTCTTTGTAAGACCCTGCAGCGTGACTGTTTGGTGAGTTTGCCATATTTACCTTTCTCTCAGACATCAGAAAATCTCATTAATTAAAATAGCTTGGTTCTTTGAAGGGCTGGGGTTGTGGTTTAGTGACAAAGCACTCACCTATTATGTGTGAGGCACTGAGTTCGATCCTCAACACCACATAAAATAAATAAATAAATAAATAAACAAAATAATAGCTACAACAAAAAAAAGAAATATTAAAAAAAAAACAGCTTGGTTCTTTGAGACTGAGTCTGTGGGAGATGGAACTCTATTCCTTAGTTCCATGTTCTAGACTTCATTTAAAATGACTTTTAAATTTACCATGCCTTTCCATTTGTAATTTCTGTTTATCCTCTCACTGGGCCTTCTCTAGATAGCCTGGGCCTTGTAGTCAAACTTTGTACTTATTTTCACACTAGCACCATCATTCCTCAGATTTTGATTTTGTCTGCTAAATCCAAATTTGTATCTTGGAAGTTGAGTGCTGTTGAAGAAGAATCACACAACTTTGTATACTGGCATATCTAGGTATTCACTTCTACCTAGAACTTCAGTATTGCTCATCATTTCATTTCCTGTTCCTCTCAATAGGGATTTTCAAATGTTTGGCATTCTGTTAAAACCATTTCTAATTCCTAATTCCCAACTTGTTTCTCAACATCTTAATTTTCTATCCTGTTTCATCCCTTTGTGCTATGCTCATAACTAATTTATAAGAATTTTATAAATTAAAATTCTTAATTTTACTGGATACAGTGGTGCTCGCTCATAATAGTAGCTACCCAGGAGACTGAGGCAGGAATATCACAAGTTGGAGGCCAATCAGGGCAACTTGGTGAGACTTTTAAAATAAAATGTTAAAAAGGGCTGGGGATGTAGCTTGGTGGTAAAGCACACCCTGGGTTCAGTTTCCAGTACCAATATATAAATGAATGATTCAGAATAAAAATTAAAAGGGCTGGGATGAGGGCTGGGGTTGTGACTCAGCAGTAGCGCACTTGCCTGGCATGTGTGAGGCACTGGGTTTGATTCTTATCACCACATATAAATAAATAAAATAAACGTCTATCAACAACTAAAAAAAATTTTTAAAAGGCTGGGATATAGTTCAGTGGTAGATTGCCTAGCATTTGTGAAGCCCTCTTTTCAGGCTCCTATACTGCAAAAATAAATAAATAAATCTCTTTTTTTCCTTCTTATTTCTTCATGACCTTCTTCATCCCTTGCTTCCTTTCCATCCTCTAGATTCCACCTCTATTGGCTACTTTCTTTCTACATGCAAGTAAGCTTTATCTGTTCTAAAGTTTGGGAGGACTTTTTTTTTTCAGTGCTTTTAACTAATGATGCTTCCAGGCTTCCTTTTACTTTCTCAGCTCTTACTCCTGTCCTAACCTACTGTATCCTCCCTTTTTGTTCTCACTACTTCAGTAGAATTACTCTTTAAGTGACCACCTACATGCTGAGTAGAATACTTCTTGTTCCTTTTCAATTTTCTGCAGCATTTGACTGTAAACCATTTCCTTTTTTTTTTTTTTTCCGGTCAGCATTTCTCTACTGATTTTTCTTTGTTGTTGTTGTTTTAACTGCTTTTGCAAAATCATCTTCCTCTGCTCAGTCCAGAATATTGTCCATTCTTGCCTTTGTTTGCTCAGTCTGCATCTGCTTCCAAGGATAATGTCTATTTTAGATTGTATCCTTCAATTGCAAGGACTGGAGACTTACTCAACCAATGGAGTTTTTTTCACATAGTGCACAAAAAACAATCCTAGGCTTAGGTTTTCCTCTCCTTTTACTTCATTCTTCTATCAGCATACCCTTGGTTGAGTTTGCACAGCACTGGAAGTATAACCCAGGCTTCTTTATTTTTTGGTACAGGAGATTGAACGCAGGGGTACTTAACCACTGAGCCACATCCCCATCCCTTTTTTGTTTTTTGTTTTAAGACAGGGTCTCCCTAAGTTATTGAGGCTGGCTTTGAACTTGCAACTGGCCACAAATTTGCAATACCCCTGCCTTAGCCTCCTGAGTTCCTGAGAGTACAGGCATGTACCACCTGACCTGGGAGACCAGGCTGCTGCTACCACTTCTTTTTTTTTTTTTTAGTATTTATTTTTTAATTTTAGGTGGACACAATAGCTTTATGTTATTTTTTTTTTTTATGTGGTGCTAAGAATCGAACCCAGTGCCTCATGCATGCTAGGCAAACACACTACCACTTGAGCCACATTCCCAACCCAAGACCAGGCTTCTTAATATGACATATATTGTGCCCTCATTGTCTTGCCCATAATCTTCTACACCAGGTATTTGCATATTATGTTCTAGCAATACCAGATTATATCTCCCTGCACAAAATGTGCTGTTTTGCACTCCCAGTTTTAGCAATGTTCTTTCCTGCCTTTATTTACTTGGGCTTATTTTATCTCCAATTTCTACTTCATAAATCCATTAGATGTGTGCTTTTCTGTCACATAAATACTTCTCTTGTTGCATATGTTAGACTGTATTGCCTTTATTTACATTTGTAGCCCTTCTAAATTTGTAATATGCTTGAAGACAGAAATCCTCTGTGTGTTTATGTCTGTGTGTGCATGGTGGGGATATTGAACCCAGGGCCTTGTGCCTGGTAGGCAAGTACTCTACCACTGAGCTACACCCCAGCCCCAGTAGAAACTCATCAAGTATCTACATATCTAAGTATATATCTATAACACATGGCGGGGATTCAGTAAATTTTGAACTGAATTGAAGCTGATAGGTTAAAGTCTGCTCTATTACAAAGAATACTTGTTTTCAGTTGTTGCTGGACCTTTATTTATTTTTATGTGATGCTGAGAATGGAACCCAGTGCCTCACACTTGCTAGGCAAGCACTCTACCACTGAGCCACAACCGCCCGCAGCCCCTATAAAGTATGCTTTTACTTAGACTTTAATTGTGGCTTCCTTATAGCACAAATACATATTCCTTGTTACCTTGAGAATATAGTGTTATTTTCATGAAGAAATACAAGGAGTGTCTGTGGATTGGCAGTGGGATTTGAAAAATTAATTTCCATTACTCAAATGAGAGAAAGATAAAGGGGTATAATTAAAGACTGACCAGAGAGCCTAATATTCTCTTTTCCAAAGAGTAGGAAAAACAGTGGACAATTTTATGGTTAGCCCTGAAGGTTCATTATCAAGTATAATTAGATCATGAAGCTGTGAAATCCTGAAAAACTCCTTATGCCTCCAAAGGTTCATATCATATTTGTTTGGTTGCTTGTTTTTTCCATTAGGTGCTGCAGAGTTTTAAGATAATGGATTACAGTCTTTTGATGTCAATCCACAACATAGATCATGCACAACGAGAGCCCTTAAATAATGAAACACAATACTCATTTGACACGCGCAGACCAGCTCCCCAAAAAGCTCTCTACTCCACAGCCATGGAATCCATTCAGGGCGAGGCTCGACGAGGTGGAACCATGGAGACAGAAGATCAGTGAGTAGGCTCGGGTACCAGGGAGGTGAGCACAAGCTCACAGCATTTTTCCTTAAGGAATGTACTTGGGTTCTGGAAAGAAAGAATAGCTTTGATTCAGCAGTCAAACCAGCAACATTAATGTTTGTAGAACCATAGGAAGACCTTTCTTAAGGAGGACGGGGAGGGAGGGGGCAAGAGGTTAAAAAAAGATGGTGGAATAAGATGTCCATCTTAAGTGTATTAAGACACTAGTGGTGTGAATATACTTTGAATACAACCAGAGATATGAAAAATTGTACTCTATAGGTGTAATATGAATTGTAATGAATTCTGCTGTCATAAATTTTAAAAATTTAAATAAAAGAATATAAAAGGAGGGCTGGGGATGTGGCTCAAGCGGTAGCACGCTCGCCTGGCATGCGTGCAGCCTGGGTTCGATCCTCAGCACCACATACCAACAAAGATGTTGTGTCCGCCGAAAACTAAAAAAAAAATAAATAAATATTAAAAATTCTCTCTCTCTCTATCTCTCTCTCTCTCTCACTCTCTCTTTAAAAAAAAAAAAAAGAATATAAAAGGAAAGGAGGAGGTCTTTGATTTGGGATTTATAGTACATCTGGGAAGGTGAGCTACCCAAGATGAAAAGAGTAAGTCTTAGAAACATATATGAAAATTATAACTTTATAATAATGGCTTCTTAATGTAAGGCATCTTCTTAGCATCATGGATTTAACTAATGTTAGTAAAATACATGAAGTGTCTTTAGGTATCCTATAATATGACTGTTAAGAAGAGTATCTTGGGGCTGGAGTTCTGGCTCAGTGCTATAGCGCTTGCCTGGTGTGTGTGAGGCACTGGGTTCAAATCTCAGCACCACAAATAAATAAAGGTTCAGCAACAAATAAAAAATATTAAAAGAAGAAGAAGAAGAATATCTTAGTGGGCATAAGTTAAAATATGAAAGTTCTTAGGAAGTTAAGTTAATTGGGGGAGTATTCCCCAAATTGCTATGTAATAGTGATTCTACAGTCTCTGATGGGGTAGGAGACATAATTAAGGAGATTGTAGAGAAGATTAAAACGGGTTTCTTAGGACTTGAGGAAGGATTTCATTCTCTTATAGTTTATGAAAAATGAGTCAGTTATGTTTAGGTCTGAGTTCCATGTTCTAATTTGAATTAGGGTTAGGAGAAGCCTCTGCCTGCTAGCCAACAGATTTTCTGATTCTTTCTTTTTGTCTTCCTCAGTATGGGTGGCATCCCTGCCCGGAACAGTAAAGGGGAAAGGCTCCTGCTTTATATTGGCATTATTGATATTCTGCAGTCTTACAGGTAAGAAACATATAGACCTCAAAGTAGGAGACAGAGTAAATGCAGATAGCTACTCATGTTTCTTTTTTAGATGGGTCTATCATCACACCCTTCCTAAAGCAAAAACATTGAATTGCCGTTGGACTGTTTAACCCATTGGTTTTCTAAACTTCCTTGATTTAACCTCTCTTCCTGGCTTCCCTACCCCACCACTTCCCCAAACTTGATATATATATCTTCTCTGGAAAGCTGAATCAGTCTTCAGAAGCACCATAGTGGAACATGCCATCTGCCTGGCTCTTTGAAAACCTGTGAGATGTGTCATACTCCACATTGGAGTATAGCTGGAAGCATATTCCCTTTCCCACAGAGGAAAAACAAGAGGATCACTGTTCTATAAAGGTATCAGCCTATGGAACAACAGAGTTAGTGAAGTGGTGATGAGGGAGAAGCTAGAAATGTTAGGCCCCGCTGTTATTCCTATAACACTTTGTGTACTATTAGGGACTGGAAAATACTTGACTTACTGATTTCATATTATTATCCACTTTTTTTTTAAAAAAAATATTTATTTTTTAGTTTTCGGCAGACACAACATCTTTGTTTGTATGTGGTGCTGAGGATCGAACCCGGGCCGCACGCATGCCAGGCGAGCGTGCTACCACTTGAGCTACATCCCCAGCCCCCTATTATCCACTTTCAACTGCTATTTCCAGTCTTGCCCATCTGTTTCTCCAGCTCTCTTTTTACAATTCATATTTTGTTTTGTTTTGCAGTGCTGGGTATCAAATCCAGGGCCTCTTGTGCATGCTAGGCAAGTGCTCTACCACTGAACTATATCCCCAGCCCATTTAAAATTAATATTATTGTCCTTGATTTGCCAGGACATATAAACTGCCCTTTTCCTATGAAAGAATAATTGATTTACATAGAAAAAGCATTGATTGCTGGGCACAGTGGTGCATGCCTGTAATCAATCCCGGCAATTCAGGAGGCTGAGGCAAAAGGACTACAAGTTCAAGGCCAGTCTCAGCATATTAAACAACTTAATGAGAATCTATCTCAAAAAAGGGCTGGGGATATAACTCAGTGGTAAAGTGCCCCTGCGTTCAATCCCCAGTACTTCCCCCTGTGAAGAAAAACAAAAAAGACATTGATTTCTAATCTGAATATGCACTGCCATGCCTTTCTCTGGAAAGCCAGCTTACCAGAGTGGAAGACTTTTTCTTTCAGATTTTGTCGTTTCAAGGTTTTATATTATTGCCTCTTCCTAGAATTGGGGGAGGAGAAAAAACCTATTAGACATTCATTCAGAAATAGTGTGTGTGGTATTAATTTTTCTCTGCAGGTTTGTTAAGAAATTGGAGCATTCTTGGAAAGCACTTGTACATGATGGGGTGAGTAGCAGTCAGCTAAAGGCTTTCTCCCCACTTTTGCCTCTCTCACTCCCGATTTCATCTTGGGGTTTTATCCTTTGGACAGGGCTTGGTCTAAAGGAAAATGGTCCTTGGACTACAGATTCTTTTATTGGGCCTTTCTCTAACTCTGTAGCCATCTCTTCTGCTCTGTAGGACACTGTATCAGTGCATCGTCCAGGCTTCTACGCTGAACGGTTCCAACGCTTCATGTGCAACACAGTGTTCAAGAAGATCCCCTGTAAGTGGCTTCTACCAGATGATCCCCCAGTGGCTCCCTTACCCCAAGAGATGGGTGGCAGGACACCTGTGTCAGGGAGCTGCAAAGGCCAAAGGCCTCTCCTGCTCTACCTACATCCTGTGAAAGCTGCTTCTCGTCTTTATGTCAGTCACTCTGTCTGTCCCAGTCGTTTCCAAGTTGCTGCTTTCCCCCTGGCTCTCCCTCCATGTGTCATTGAGGTGAGGGCCTTTTCTGGGGAATTGGTGGGATTGTAAAAATGTGTAGTTTTGAATGTAGAATCCATGCTGCAGTCTCAGACAGAGCCAGGTTTTTATGTACAGGGAGTGATAGGCAAAGATGTTACCAGTATTATATCTTCTGTCCATGCCCCAGGTACCAAGCAGTTCTCTAGTTGCTGTGGGTGAAGCATTTCTGGTTTTTGCTTAAAACCTCAACTTTATGTGTTTAGAAGTTCCAGTTTGGGTGTGGTGATGTCCTGTCTCAAAACAAGACAAAATTAAAGGATGGGGATGTAGCTCAGTGATACAGTGCTTGTCTAACATTTGTGAACCCCTGGATTTAAGAAAGAAAGAAAGAGCTGGGCATGGTGATATAAGCCTGTAATCCCAGCTACTTGGGAGGCTGAGGCAGGAGGACTGCAAGTTCAAAGCTAGCCTAAGAAACTTTGGGCCCTACCTATCTCAAAATGAAAAATAAGAAGGGCTGAGGATGTGGCTCAGTGGTTAAGCACCCCTGTGGTCAATCTTTGGTACCAAGAGGTAAAACAAGGCAGGGGGAAGTGCAATATGCTCCTCGCCCCCCAACCATCCATGCTGTTGCCATGGTAAATTCCAGCTCTTCCTTCCTTCACCTCATCAGACATCAGTAATCCTTTAGTGAGATGTAGAGGACCTAAACATGCCAGACAGTTTTATGGGGGATGGAAAAATCCTATCTTTTCAAAGTGACACATAAATAAGTATAAATTACAGTGTTGGGTGCATACGTGTTAAGAAGATGTACAGTGAGGGGGTCATTTTTTAGGTTGTGGGGGGAATACTACTAAAGAACAAGGGAATTATAGAAAAGAGCACATCTTATCAGGTGGAAGCAAAACTATCAAGGTTGCATTTAGGGGAAAGGGAGGGAGATGAGTATGTGTCATCTTTCTTCTAAGTTTTCTGCTGCTTTCCTAAATAAAGTGAAATGAAACACCTCCCATTCCAAATAGTAATTCATAGAGCCTTCTTCATTGATGTTAACCCTTGTTCCTCCTTTGCTTCAAAAGAACAACTTTGGCTGTGTGTACCGACTCCTGGGTACACTAGGAGTTTGTATCTGTGTCTTGGTGATGGTTTCTAAAGTGGGTGCTAAGTAGGCTCTTTCTTTCCCTTTTGAAGTGAAGCCCTCTCCTTCCAAAAAGTTTCGGTCTGGCTCATCTTTCTCTCGGCGATCAGGCCCCAGCGGCAATTCCTGCATTACTTCCCAGCCGTCCGTCTCTGGGGAACACAAAGCACAAGTGACAACAAAGGCGGAAGTGGAGCCAGGTTAGCGCCAGGGCTGGGGCTTCCCGTGTGATTGGGCATGCCTTCCCTCCCTTCTGAGACCTTATCTTTGGCCAGGAATTCTACTCCCCATTTCTATTCAGGAAAAGCCAACTTATTCCAGTTTTTCCCTTACCCCATTTCCTTCGTTCCTTCCTTCCTTCCTTCCTTCCTTCCTTCCTTCCTTCCTTCCTTCCTTCCTTCCTTCCTTCCTTCCTTCCTCCCTCCCTCCCTCCCTCCCCCCCCCCCTCCCTCTCTCTCTCTCTCTCTAATATTTTCTTCTTTTTCATTTCCAGATGTTCATCTCGGTCGTCCTGATGTTTTACCTCAGACTCCACCTTTGGAAGAAATCAGTGAAGGCTCACCTGTTCCTGGCCCCAGTTTCTCACCTGTAGTTCCAGAGACTTTGCAGATACTAAATACAAGGTTGGTTCTTTGGCCCCTTTCTCTATGTATCTTATCTTTTCTGTCTTCAGGTCTTTGGGAACCTCCATAATTCTATTTTTCTGTGGATCATTGTTAGTTGCTCTTCACTAGGATTTGTGCAGGTTCTCCTTCCTAAGAGCTCATCTTAAGCTATTTGGAAAAGTGTGGGGATAACGGAGATCTGTGTGTGCACAGTGAATATCTGGTATTCACTCACATATCCTAACTAACCCTTCATCTCCTGGTGGTAATTTCACATAGAATTTAAGGCTGGGGGCTGGAGTTATGGCTCAGTGGTAAAGCCTTTGCCTAGCATGTGTGAGGCACTGGGTTCAATTCTCAGCATCACATATAAATAAATGAACAAAATAAGGGTCCATCAACAACTAAAAAATATTTTAAAAAAAAAGAATATTAGACTGGAAAAATCTTTGCTGGGTGATGAAAATAATGAACAGTCAGTTTTTCAATAGGGTCCAATGTAAAGATTATGACTTAATTTTATTATCCTGTGTATTTGTTATCTATTGAGTCATAATAAATTACCTTAAAACTGAATGGTTTAAAATAATAAATATACATCATGGTTTCCATGGTCAGGAAATCAGGTGCAGCTTAACTAGGTCTTCTGGCTCAAGGTTTCTCATGAGGTGGCAATCAAGCTATTTCTGGTGCTAGAGTCTTGTCTGAAGGTTTGACTGGGAGGATTTGCTTCTAAGCTTATTTGTGTAGTTATTGGCATGATTCAGTTCCTTGTGGATTGCTGAACTGGAAGGTCTTAGTTCTTTGCTGGCTAGGGCCTGGGGGCCTCCCTCACTTCTTTGCTATGTGGGCCTCTCTGTGAGGGAGGCTCAGAGCATGGCAGTTGGCTTCTTATATGCTTGAGGAGAAGCCATAATCTTTTTGTAACCTAATTACAGAATTAATAGGATACTATTACTTGTGCTTCATTTTACTGAGTAATGCAGCCCACACTCAAAAGGAAGGGATGACACAAGGATGTGAATACCAGGAGCAAGGATCATTAGGAGCTATTTTAGGAACTGCATATCACAGTCTGGCTCCTGGCTACAAGTGACTTACATCTCTCTATGTGCAAAATACATTTCCTTCCTCTAGAGATCTCCCAAAGTGTTATTCCTTATACAAGGTTGGTTCCAGATTGTCTGAGTTCCCTGGGTTTAAGTTCCTTAAACTCAGCTGTTCAACCAGAGCTTTTAGTCTATAAAACTACAAAGACAAGTTAAATTGGGCATGGTCATGCATGTTTGTAATCCCAGCTACTTGGGAGGCTGAAGCAGAAGGATCACAAGTTTGAGGCTAGCCCCAGCAACATAGCAAGACCCTTTCTCAAAATAAAAGGGCTGGGGATGTAGTTCAGAGGGAGAGCACCCCTGGGTTTGATCCCTAGTAGCAGAAGTTAGGGGATGCTGGGGTACAGCTCAGTGGTAAGGAGCTTGGCTTGGCTAATGTATGAGGTGAGGTTCTGTTTTCAGGCCCCATGTTCTCCTCTCCAAAAAAAAAAGTGGTGAGGAGTTATGGGAGGCATGAAAGAAGTTAACTGATGCATTAGCTATTCTGAAAGTCAGGAAATGTTGGCGTTTCTTTGATTAGATCTCAAGGTGAGAGAATAATTCATGTCTCTTGGCTTGGCTTTGCAGCTGAGTAATTTTTTCTTTTTTTTGTAGGGGAGTGGTGGTGGGTACTAGGGACTGAACCCAGGGGTACAAAGTTTGAAACAAGGTCTTAAGTTGCTTGGGGCCTTGCTGAATTGCTGGGGCTGGCCTTGAATTTGTGATCCTTCTGCCTCAGTCTCCTGAGCTGCTGGGTTTACAGGCATGTGCCACTGTGCCCTGCTGTAATTTCTTAATTTTAGCATTGATTACTCTCTCAAGAGTTTCAGGTTTTTTGTTTGTTTGTGCCAAGAGTTGAACCCAGGGGTGATTTACCACGAAGCTATATCTCAGTCTTTTTTTTTTTTTTTTTTTTTGAGACAGGGTCTCAGTCGTTTACTTTAGCTGAGTCTGGCTTTGAACTCTCCATCCTCCTGCCTCAGCCTCTCTAGCTGCTCCATTATAGGCCATGCCAACACATCCGGCTCCCAGTCCTTTTTTATTTTGAAACAGAGTCTCAAAATTTTGAAACAGAGTCTCAATTGCTAAATTGCCAAGTCTGGCGTCAAATTTGCAATCGTCCTCCTTCAGTCTTCCAAATGGCTGGGATTATAGGTATGCACCACCATGCCCTACCCAAGGTTCACAAGTTTTGAAACTTTCCAAATCCTGGCTTCTTTTTGTTTGTTAATTCTTCCATTGGGCTTGAGATGTCGCTCAGTGGTACAATCCTTACCTTGTGTGCATGAAGCCCTGGATTTGATCTCAGCACCACCAAAATAGAAAAAGAAACCAGTTCAAGACTTCCCTTGGAAATCTCCTTAGCCAGATCACCAGTTCATTACTTAGGCACATTTTCTGCTTTTCACTAACTGGACGATGTTGCTGGTAAGTTTTGTGCCATTACCTTACAAGGATCTCCAAATTCCATTTCTTTTTTTCCTTTTTTAAATAATTTTTTAGGGGCTGGGGATGTGGCACAAGTGGTAGCGCGCTCACCTGGCATGCTTGTGGCCCAGGTTCGATCCTCAGCACCACATACCAACAAAGATGTTGTGTCCGCCAAAAAATAAATAAATAAATATTGAAATTCTCTCTCTCTCTTTAAAATAATAATAATATTTTTTTAGTTGTTGATACTTATATGTGGTGCTGAGAATCGAACCCAGTGCCTCACACATGCCAGGCAAGTGCGCTACTGCTGAGCCAAAGCCCCAGCCCCTCCTAATTCCATTTCTAATTAGATTTTTCTCACTGGTAACCCTAGTTAGTCCAAAATTCTATAAATAGCACATTCAGGACACTAAACTTGCATTAAAACTCTCCTCAAAGCCATTTTCATCTTCTAAAGTCA